GCAGCAATAACCTAAAACAGAGAACAGAAAGCAAGTGAGGAATCGGGGAAGAGCGCCGGATTTGCTCCAACTTACCGAGCTCTGTTTGCAAGACAGACCAGCTTAATAACTGTTCCTTATGCCCCCGCTAGCAAAAACTTGAGAGAAATGGATATTTTTCTGTAGCACCCTTTAAATCCCTTTATGTTAGGACTTGTCAACTGCCATCTTAGTAAATCACAGACATGAGGAGGAAGAGCTAATTTATTTTTATCCCTTGGGGCTACCAGATATATTGTTGCACAAGTTCAGGCAAGTCAAAACTGGCGAGGAGCAAGCTTAGGTCAGAAATGAAGCTTCCAGCCAGCAGAATAGCGAGGCTTTGGAGCTAACTTCCAAGGGGAGAATCAAATAAAGCACTGAAACGTTTTCCAGGTGGAGCCTTGATCAGTTTTATGGATGGGGTTGTGCATACACAGCGCTGCAGTACTGAATCCGCACGGGTCCCTACGTCTTAACTGCGCACGCCTCTCACTCAAGAGGCAGTTCAGATGGAGACGGGCTGTGGTCAGTCACCATTCCGGCTCTAGCTGAACAGGGATGCAAGATAAATGACCATCTCCCACCATCAGCCCACTGTGCTGCCCAATATTTGCCCACACCAGTTCTGTCCAACCAGTCTGGGCTAATTTTGGTGCATTGATAGTGAGGATTTCCACCCTGGCTCAGGCAGGGACAAGAAGCTGTCAGAGGTGGGGAATGGTACCCCAAAAGCAGCCAGCTCTCAGGTTGAAGTCCCCAGCCCTCACCACATCCTCCCACTGGTGCTGTCGGTGCTCCCGTACTTCCTCACCTCCAGAGCTGTTGCAGCTGGCTGGCAGGATACTGCAACGCACCACCCCGTGCCACAGCCAAGGTGCTGAGTACTTCGACATCGTGGAGTATTCGCTCGCACTCCCGATTCCCCTTCTTTATCTGGTGTCGAAGCAAGGAGAGAAGAAAGATGCTTAGGAAATTGGTAGCTAGGAGTGGATCTCTCACACCAGCAGCAAAAGCCCAGCTCCAGTGCAGGAAGACTGGTTACCATGAGTTTGCCATTACCAGCAAGATATTTTCTGTCTCAGATCAAGTTGAAACTCCCAGCACAAGACATAGCTTCCCCTGCCTCTGCTCTCACCTTCCTCCCCTTCTTCTGACTCTTCACCCAAGCTCTCCAACTATTTGCTAAAGTGAAGGAAACGGCAGCTGTGCACCAAGGGGAACCCTGCTGTGTCCAGGCTTCCTTCTCACCCCTTGAAGAAAGTCTGACAATAGACCTGCCTTTTGGAGTTCTGGCTACAAGGTGGCTCCCACTGTTGAGACCTAAAGGGCACTGCTCAAACCCTGGAGCCGCCTGAGCCGTAGCAAAGAGATCTGAGAACGGCCACCTTCCCTGGGAGACCACTGCAACCCGTCTGGTGCGAGCAGTCACCTGGGCCTGGGTGGTGTATGTGCCGTTGTGCAGCTCAAGGAAGAGCTCTCCCACCCAGGTGCACAGCTGTGACGACTCCTTCTCCAGGACAGAAAAAAGCTGGTCGGGAGTGGAGAGCTGAACCCTGCGGGAGAGAAGCACAAACAGTGATGAGCCAGAGGAGAAGCCTGTGACACTGCGAATGGTGAATCCTGACCAGAAAGGTGACAGCCCCAGAAACCCCAACACAACCACGACTCCATGTTCTCCCAAACCCCCTCCTACCCCTCTCCCGTTCCACACTGCTCTTGCTGCCTGCCACGGGGACAGGGACATTCCCCAGGCAGGGACAGACTGCCAGGCACCACTGCTGTGCTGGCCATTCGCCCCACAGACCAGCTGAGGGTTCACGAGCAGTCTGAGGCCACGCCGTGTACCTGTTCTTACTGCTCTTGATGGTGGAGAGAGACTCTGTCTCCCTGACAATCCTTCCTAGCCCTCTGCTCGCCCCGCTTGCTCCCTGCCCTCCTTCACTCTTTCTTTTGGCACTGCTGAAAGCCAGGTCTGGCTCAAAACAAGTGCTCTCACAAGGAGGGAGGAAGGCAGCTGTCCTCTCACCTTGGCAGCCCATCTGTGTCACTCATTCTCTTCATCCTGTCCAGCATCTTCTGCGTGGGGCCCCCTCCTCCATCTCCAAAGCCGAAGAGGAAAGCGCTGTGGTTCACACGTCCTTTGTCCTTGTTGTTCTTCACTGTTTTCAGCATCTAGAGGGAATTTTGGACAGCTGCAATCTCCTGGTGCCCAGCTCCAGCTCCACACAAGAAAGCCAAGTGAACCTTTGTGGAGCAAAGCACAGTCCTGCCCCTCTTCCCCAGCCCAAACTGCCAAAATCAGGCACGGACACATCTCAGAGGCAGGCGATTGACTGCCAGGCACCCAAACAGCCTTTGTCCAGTAACGCTGCCAGCTATCCCACTGCCTTCCCAGGCAGTGATCTCTCCTGGGAGCCTCAGATCCGGTCCCAAGGGGCTGGCACTGCACTTCACATGGAGGTCCAGCAACCGCACTCACCTCCTCCACTCGCCCGTGCATCCCGTAGGAGTCACCAGGGGGGAAATGGGTCAGGACTCGGGAACCATCAATGCCTTCCCAGAAAAAGGTGTGATGCTGGAGGGGGTGCAAAGGAAAGCGTGGTGTCTCGTACAGCCCCCCTGTACCCACCCAGCACCAAAATGCTAAAGCACACCCCCACTGTTCCCAGTGAGCTCCCAAAAGGAAACCTCTGGTCATGCTGGTACCAGAAAGAGATAAATTCACCCTTAGCTCAGTGTTTCAAGGCTCCCAAACTCTTCTCCCACACCAACATGCACATGGAGGGCACACTTCAACCACAGCAGCACAGAACTTGTGCGCTAAAAGCCCAAGCTTCCTCACAAGCCTTCTCCAACACACAAATCCCAGCACCTTTGGCACCAAGGAAGTGCACAGGGGACAGGCACTTCAGAGCCCCTTGAAGATTCAAACCGGGTCTTCGCTTTCTCTCCATGAGGCTGCAGGATGCCCGGACAGATCAGTGCAAGGAGACAGTTGCACAAGGACGTGGAATGCCACAAGGGCAGGGGACAGCAGAGGAGAGGCTGGGTTTGCTGTCGGTCAGACCTGCATGCAGGTCACAGCTTCCCATCTGGAAGCAGAAGGAATTTGTAGGCCAGGGACCCAGCTGGGATCTCTAACTGCATCCTTTCTTCCCGCTAAACCCTGACAGGACATTGCTACCACCACAAACTGATGGCTTCTGGAAGAAGAGCCTTTGTCAGCTGAGCTGAAGGACTGGCTCGACCTGTGGAACCAAGGGGTCCAGCCCTGCAGACAGACTCCAGCAACTGCAAGTCCATCCCCTGGCAACAGGGGAAGCAGAGCTCACCGGGAAGGTGTTCACCAGGTTCCAGCTGAGCTTCTGCGTGAGGAACCGCCTGATCCCACAGCCACACATCAACTGGGGCAGCTGGGCCGAGTATCCAAACGTGTCCGGCAGCCAGAACTGGGAGCAGAGGTGACAGCAGCAGAGGGAGAGAGACGCATCTGAGTCACGTTGGCCACGAACCACAGCCGGAGCGCGCGAAGGCTTTCTTGGTAGTCAGGCTCTGAGGCCATCTTGCAGAGGGGACAGAAGATGTGCTAGACAAGGAGCAATTCTAGAGACCTGCCAGAGACCTACAGGAACACAACCAAGGCGGGAGGCTGTGCCAACTCCCATGACACGTCGGGGATTAGATGTTTACTCAGCGCAGCTTTAGCTGCAAAAAGCACGCCAACGTGAGGCACCTGAACATCGTATCTGGAAGCAGAGAGAAACCCTCACGCACAGCAAGAGGTGGAAGGAGACGGCGTGCAAGGAAGGTGTGCTGGGAAAGAGAGAGTACCTCTGAGCAGATCCGGCCAAACTGCTCCTGGAAGAACCGCTGTCCCTGGAGGAACTGCCGCACCATGGACTCCCCGCTGGGCAGGTTCCCGTCCTGGGGGGAAAGCACAGGGAGTTCACACGGCAAATCGGGCACCAGGAAAAGGAGGTCTCGTAAGCGTCCCATTCCCACCCACTGTCATCCTGACCTGGCAGACCATGGGGAGGATCTGGCCAGAGCTCAGCAGAGGGTGAAAGCAGGAACAGAGCTCAGCCAGCCCAGACCAAAGCTCCCTTCTCAGGGAACGAGATGATTCAGAAGAGGGATGGTATTTTGCAAGGCTAGACATTGCAGACAGCTGGTGTTTGCTGGGCCCAGAGACCATCACCAACAGACAGGCTCAGCAAAGGCTCTGCTCTCCCCCTCCAGTGACAGGACCGGTCCCAGAGGGCTGGTGCAGGGAGGGTGGGGCGAGCCAGGCTCACCATGCTTCTCACCATTTCCACCCAGGTGCCTCCAACAGGAATGAACTGCCCCTTCGCCACGAAGTCCTGAATCTGCGCGTAGAGCCCGGGGTACCAGCTCCGCACCCACTCGAACTGCTGTGCCTGACAAGGCATGGAGGTCAGCCTCAGCTCCCACCACACCGCGCCACACTGACGACCCTCCTCTCTGCAACCGCACAGGACGCTCCCAGTCACCCCCCCCAGCCTCGTTTCGAGCCATGCTGGAGAAGCAACTCACCACAAAGGGAAGGAGAGCTGCCCAGAGGGAGATCACTCACCTGGGAGCAGGCGAAGGTGAGCTCCGGATTGCGCTCCATCAGACGGAGCACCGTGACCCAGCTCCGAGCACACTTACGGATGGTCTCCTCATACGGCCACAGCCAGGCTGCAGGGACAGGAACCACGGTTATTACTCGGCACAACATCCTCTGGGAATGGGGCTGTGCTGCCTTTTGTTTATAAGCCAGGGAAAACGCTAGAGCAAAACACTGTCCTTTGACCAAGCGTTTGACAGCAACACAGCCTGGGGTCCCCAACTCTTGCTCCTCCTGCTGCCTCTCTGTTGAGACTGAAACCCCTCCAGGGACTGGAAATTGAGGGGTGAAGTCCAACGGGGGGAAGACAGTGGTCTGTAATTCATCCCTCATCACCAGCCCCATCAGTGCTCCAAACAGCACAGGTAGCCAGACACACGCTCCCCTGCCTCGGTGACAGAGCAGCTCTACGGCAGCACAGAGGTCCCCTTCCTCCCCCTCCAGTGCCTGGAGCCCAAGGGAAGCCAGCTCTCCCCTTGGGCAGCACGCCCTGGCCTCCAGTCCAGCAGAGAGGGAACACTGTGCTGCTCTCACCAGAGTCAATGTGGCAGTGACCCACAGCATGGATGGTGTGCTGGCTCTCGCCGTTCCTCTGGCTGAAGATCTCCGCAGCCAGGTGACGGGCAGCGGGGAAGGTGGACGGGTCTGTAACGTCACACACGTTGACCATCTGGTTGGCAGTGTACAGCGCCTGGAAACTCCTCTGGTTTTCCTCCCCGAGGAGCTGGGGTGGGGATAACAGTTTGACTCGGAGCTCAGCACATCCTCTGGCTCAGAGCAGCAATTTGTACCAGCTCGGACGCCACCTGCCTCAGGGAGAACCACCTTCCAACATCTGAGTCTGTCAGTCAGCAGTGCCAGTTAAACACCGCGTCCCTGCTTCACAGACACAACCTTAGGTCTTTCCCATGTGCATTACAAAGCCAGGTCACACATACGCCCATCCCAGGGGGCTCTGGGCTAACAGATCCTGCCTTGGAGCAGAAAGTGGATGAAAAAACCACCTGTGGCTTCTCTCTGTCCAGTTTTCTCCTAGTCTAGACAACATCAATCGTGCTACAGCAGCGGGAGCAAACATTTGCTCCTCCAGGGCCTTCTGGTGGGAGGAGATAGGTCACAGAATGGTGGGAGAAGGAGATAAAAGGAAGTTGTGGAAGGAGGTGGAAAGGGTGAGAGAAGGGAAGAGAATGAGCTCACAGACCTGGGCCATGTCCAGCAGTATTTCCAGATCTACCAGCAGTTCATAGACATCCCTGTTGAAGACGACCAGTTCAGCCTTGCTCAGGGTGAACCTCCTGTCTGGGTCTGGAGGGGCGATCATACTGCCCTTGCCAGCCCCGAAGAGACCGTTGCAGGCCAGCTCCACGTACAGCGTCAGACTGGAGGGCAAAAGGACACCATCAGGGAGCAGATCACAAGCCATTGGCTGGGAAAGTCCATTCCCCTCCCCATGGTGGGACCGGCCCGACCTGAACAAGGGACAGAGCCCCTGAACGCCAGACACTTCTCAGAGCATCTGGATGCAGACAAGAATGTCTCACCCTGGCCTCTTGGCTCCAAACACCATCAAGCTCCCCCAGGGATGGGGGACTCTGGCCAGCTGACCACCCACCTGTGGGGCTCCGTCTCTTTCAGGCTGCTTGTCAGGATGTAGCTGGTCTTCTCACCTTCCTTAGTCAAACCCTGCAAGGGAAGACAGCACATTCAACACACATCTTCAGAGGTCCATGACAGCGGGCTGGATGGCCAGGACAAAACACATCTGGCTGGATGGAGGAGTGTTATTTTATGCCCACCAACACATGTAGGCATTCCTCTGAAGAGTGCACAACAAATGGGACAGGATTTCTTCTACTGTTCCATTGCAGAGGGCTAAGGGGGATAACCACTCTGTACACAGCAAAGCACCTGGTGCAGCTGGCACACCCTTGATCCACGCCTCCTTACCTGGACAGGCTGGGCGTCTCGCCACACCATGCCCTCCCCATCGCTCTCCCAGACGAAGTGCACTTCCTGCCCTGCCCAGGCCGGGGGGATGCTCAGCTCCACCTTAAACCAGCACGTCTCCCACCTGGAAGAGAGCAGGCAGCAACCTCAGCCCACGGTGAGACCTTCTCCCAAGGGCAAACACAATTCCTCAGAGGCTCCATGGAGAAAGCAGAGCGGGGACTGCACACAACCCTTAGGGCAGGCTTGTGCCCAGGCTGCAAGGAGCCCCAGCAGGCGAGGAAGCTTGGAAAGCAGCATGGAACCCCATGGTGCTGGCCCCAACCCAGCCTGTTCTGAGATTCCAGAGAAACGGACAGTGGCATCGTGTCTTTGACCACAGCCAGGAAAAGACTCCAGTCTTCTCCCAGCCCTGACAAGCGCACGGATCCCGCGCAGAAGCAGGGTTACAACCATGACTAGGAACACGAGCTCTCGGCACAAAGGATGGATGAATCCAGCTCTCTGCTCTCCTTGGAATCTGACACATCTCGGTCGGTTTCCTTACGAAACCTCCCCTGGGGCTTCTGGGCTGACACCTCCTACCTAAAGCCGCAACAGGGAGGAGGATGATGGTCTCATTTCTTTGCCACTGGGAGCTCACGAGGATTCACGCACACAGGTAACGCTGAAGACACGAGCTCCAGCCCCACCACGCTCGTGGGACCACCGGAATCTGGTACTCACGTGGGCCCGAAGGAGTCGCCCACTTTAGCCGGTCTGAATTCCTGCCTGACAGCCTCATCGTACGGGATGCGCCGCGGGGTCTGGAAGCAGGAGAGCGCTGCTGGCGGACAGTGATCCCCAAAAAGCCTGCGGCAGGAGACAGGACACCACCAGTAAGGCCAGTCCTGCCCGGGGGTGGGGAGGGACAGAGACCACCCTGCTTTCCCAGCATGGCTGTATCACCCGGCTCCCACTTAACACCCTCATAGTATTAATTAACAATCATTTGCCCCGTTGATGGCCCGTTGGAACGGCCTTCCAGCAGCGTTTTCCAGAGGGCAGCAGGGCTGGGGGGCAGAGCCGACCGTGCCAGCGGCTCCCTGAGGCAGAGCTCCAGCTGGCCGAGGGGTGTGTGTGTGCTTTGTTCACGGAGCCCCCGAGTTCGGGGTGCAGCAGCCTGCCCTGCGGGGCCGGCTGACAGACAGACACACCCACATACACAGACAGAAAGACACAGACAGACACACACCCCCATACACAGACAGACAGACACACACACAGACAGACACACACACCCCACACAGACAGAGACACAGACACAGGCACACACACATAGAGTCACACACCGACACACAGACAGACACACAGAGAAACAGAAACACACACAGACACAGAGACACAC